CTTAAAAATGTTGTTTTAACATTGCACATTGGGAAAATAACAGCATAGAATGATGTGTAGGTATATAAAGGTTAGTTTAGTGCAATAAAATAGATTTTCAAAAATTTGACATTCCAGCATGATTTGGCTATATTCTCTGAAACACGATTTGCGACGAGTGACTGGTTTGGTTAGTCTTTGCCACATATACAGAAGTAGCAGTTTTTTGTAGTCACATGACCCAGTACAATTCTGTTAGAAAAATTATAAAACTATGTTTTCATCAACTGGACTTTGATTTCACAAAATGTATTTTTACGAATATGTGCCATGACCATTATGGCATGTCTTGCCCACTTTAACGGACAGCTTCAGATAGGCTCGCACACAATTAGCATGTGGACATTTGTGCTATAAGAAGAAAATAATGAAAATTCTATGTTTACAATACTTTAAAATATTTATCCAAAGCTAGATTTAATGTAATACCTAGTTAAAGGCAAATTCCTCTTGCCAAAAAGAATGGGTTTCGGGACGGAGGAGGTTGATCCCAACCTGGGGCTTGGGGATAAGTTCAGTCTGTCCTTATTTAAAGCACAAACCGTATCTCTCCTTTTCAACACTTTCATAGCTTTTCCTCCCATCAACCTAGAATAAAAAATAATTTCCAGAACAGTTTAGAGGCCTTAGGCTGGTTATATGTATCGTATGTGTTTCCATTAAAAATTGACATGACCTGCTCTGACCTCATCACTTTAATTTATTATGGAGGTTTGGGTCCTTGTTATCAAATGGATGAAAATCATTGTGGATTTCTGGTGAGTATGTCAATAGTACGATCATCACCCACAAATGTAACATAATCTGGAAAAGAAGCAGGTAAATATAATATCAGTTATAATATATATAATATTATTCAGTATTATTAAAAATGAATAATTAATCAGTCGCTAAGAATTGTATACCAAGATCGAGTAAAACAAAAATATTAATAATGACAAATAACCAACAATAATAATAATATTAAATAATGTTAATAATAGTACCAAACAAAATACTGATAACCAACAATAATATTTAATATCTATAATAATAATTTATTTATTTATATATTTATTCAGTTACCATCATTGCCCGGGTGTTGCAAAAGCAGGAAACCCAGTCTGCAGAAGGATGTATGATAATATATATAAAGATAAAAAATAACCCAATAACAACAATGATACAATAAAGATATTGTAATATTAACAGCAATGGCAGCAGTAACAGTATATGTTAGTTAACTAGAAACATACACAAAAGTTATGAAAATATAACTTACTAAAATCATAACTGTAATTAACTTACCATATAGCAAATGACAAAGACCCTTGCAATTGGATATCGTTTGAGGAATACACCTAGTCTAATGCTAAATTTATCGATAGTGTTTGCTGCCCTCTTGACGTTTTTAGTCACAACAGGATCGTTAGGCTCCTCTCGCATAAATGATGGCAGAGTGCGTTGTCTTGCACCTTTAACAGAAACAAAAAAACAGTGTTAATATGTTCATAGTGATACAGTACATGATAATTAATAATTGTGGTAAAGATGAACAACGATATGTATTGTGTAACAACGATTATGATGATGTTGATGATGTAAATAGTTATCTGTCAAAGGGAGAAAGAATTACCTTTCTGTACACTTTGACGTGTTAATACTTTATTTTGGCAGTGGTTATTGTTACACTGGTCTTAAATCAATTCTTAATTCTGATTGGATGTTACTGTCCTAATCCAATCCATCCATACATACAATAATGCCTAATTAGAAACAGGAAATGGTTTAGGCCACTGCCTTATATATTCTGTAATTATGTTGAAGATGATTGTTATAGTAGTGGTGACAACATGTTTATGTCAATGACCTCATTTAACCTGTAACCTACCTTCTTCATCTTCAGCGTTGTTAAATGTCACGGTGTGATGACGGTGATTACAGTTCGTAACAGGGTGAATACCTTGCACTTCTTTATTATTTTTCTATAAAATAATTACCAAATTTAAAAAAAACAAAAATAAATGTCTATATACATATTAAAATCATATTTGAAGATAGATATATTTATTGAATTTATTAATTTTTATATTATACTATTATTATATTATATTATCATTGGCTAAAAATTAACAAATGCACCTAAAGGGTCAACATAATATTACTAACAAATTCACAATAGATACTAATAATAGTTATTATTATTCATCATTTTTAAAGTTAAGATAGTGTATAATCAAAGAGTATAAACAGAACAAGAGAGCCAACTACGCTTATTGAGAGTGTAAAAAACGATACGCCATACGCAGCTAGTGTAGAATGCCAACTAACGCTTGTATGCACTTTTTATTACCCAGTACTCCACCGCGCAGGGTCTGTTTGTCTGTTCTCCACAAGATACAGTACTTTTTTTTTCTACTTCCTGAGTTCATAGCGGGCGTACTTCTATCGCGCTGCACTGGGTAATAAAAAGTGCATACAACCGTCAGTGGCCGCCCTACGCAGACGTGACGTATTTAAGAACGGGAGTACGCTCTCTTGTTCTATTCATACTCTTTGGTATAATAAACTCCATTACAATACCTCAACTCTTTCAAGCTGAAGTACTAACGAGTTCTTCTCTGTCCCTAATGCCTCCAGCATAGTCTGCTTCTGAATCAGGCTTTCAGTCAGTGTGTGTAAACGATTCTCCAACTCTGCTTGCGTTGTACCGCTCATACGCTTTGCAACCAACTGTCGATGAAAAAATAAGTTAAAAAGTTAAGATGTAATTTTATGGGGAATTTAATAACTTATATACTGTACTCTAGGTTGTGTTTCCAAAAAATGTATTATTTCTATTTTGATACGACAGCGATTATTATTCCACCCGAATCACTTGAAAATTTTGTTCGCAAGTATTTGGGAACGTACTGAGTATTCATGTCACTCCCACAGATATTATTATTGTTACATTATTGTCAAATTATTTGTCAAAAGTGACTATTTACAAAAGTATTTGATAGTTAAATTCATATGATGCATGATAATGACTATCTGATTTAATTAAATGCACTATATGCTAATTTGTGTCTGGAATGTGTGTCTTCATGTTAAAACAGTGTATAAGGATGTTGTGTGCTGAGTTTGAGCAATAAACAGCTTAGAAGCCTGCTGTTTCGAAAGGTCTACGTAGAAGCCTAGAGCGACCTATAATGAGTTTTACTCAGTAGTCAACCTGTAGTGTGGTATTTGATGATTTCTAGCTGTGCTTTAAGAAAGGATCATTGTAGATTACAAAGTTTTTTTTGCCATCAGGGACAAGCCATGATCAAGTGAGAGTAGGTAGCGCCAAACACCCCCAAAAAACTGCATTAAACTCTCAAGGAAAATTGCTGCATGGGAAATTGTAGAGGAAAGAAAGAAAGTTATTCATGTACATGTAGAACATCAGGTTGATTAAACTCAACCATGAATTGAACTATATTTTACCTGGTTTTTTAAAGTTATTACTTCTTCATCTTTTTCCTGCAGCTTTGCTTGTAGATTTAGCTTTTGTTTATGTGAATCATCCTGGATGAATTTAAGTTCTTCCTTACTCTTCTCCAAGTCCGCCTCACACTCTCTCACATTCTGTCGTTCTTTTTCCAACTGATCTTGTAATTCTTGGATTTGGTCCTGTGCCGTCTCAGCATCAGACTGTTGCATCATCTCTAGATCCTGTACACAAAAATGAAGAAGTATGCCTCATGATTAGCTCCCAGTGTAGTTCTGGGTCAATGTTGTTAGTAGTTATTACCAACACTACTGATAGGGACAACTGAGCGAGTCGAGTGGCTGAGTGGTAAGGCAGGGGCACTGCTAGCTACAAACTTAACATCAGCGCTGGTTCCAGCCGCTCCTCAAATGAATGATGATGATGAGGATGAGGATTATGATGCAGATGATGATTATGATAATGGTAATGATGGATTATGGAAATGATAGAAGACGGTGATGACGATGATGATGATGATGTATGATGTACGATGATAATGATGATGGAATAATACTAATGATAATAATCATAAATGATGATGATGGTAATGATGGTGATGATAACATTGTTGATGGTGGTGATGATGGTGTTCCATGGATCAACTAATATTCTTTCATTAGTTAGAGGACACTATCATTTTAGAAAATGAAAATAATAGCAAGGAGCATCCATTAGATCTACCTGAATTTCAACTCTCAATGTATCAAGTTTAGTGTTGACTTGGTGCAGCTCTTCCCGCAGCATGTCCCTCTCATTCGTCATCTCCTCCAATTCCACAGTACTGCTTGAATGGCCCTCTATAGCTACAGCTCCTTCCTTCAAACTGTTGATCAATTTGTCCTTTGACTGGAAGAAAATAAAATGTCATAAGTTAAAATGTTGGGCAAAGCATAATGGAAAAAACATTTTCAAATATTTTACGGAATTAAGGAAAGTTATATTTAGGGTGGTGAGTTTCTTTTTAAGTGGGCAAGTTTTATATAAAGTGTTGCAAGTTGTTCTTTAAGAAATAAGCTGTATTAAAAGTAAGCACATTGTATATGAAGTCAGTAAGAAATTCCCAAGTTGCGTTATGAAGAGGGCAAGTAGTATTTGAAGTGGGCAAGTAACAAGTAGTAGGCAAGTTGTATTTGAAGTAGGCAAGTTGCAAGTAGTAGGCAAGTTGTATGGGTATACAAATGGGTAGTGTATATAAAGAGGGTAAGATATCATTGAGGGTGAAAGTTGTATTTGAAATGCACAAATTGTATATAAAGTGGCTAAATTGACATTGCAAGGGACAAGTGGTATTTGAAATGTACATGCTGTATATAAAAATGGGCAAGTGTTCGTGGAAGAAGACAAGTTGTAGATAATGTGCACTTCGAGTAATGCCACTGTCATAGTGCCATTGAACATTCTGCGGTGGATATTGGCACTATACAAATCCATTATTGATTGAAGTGGACAAGTGGTATATAAAGTAGGATTCAAGTTAAATTTGAAAATTTAAAGTTTTTATTTAGCATATATATCCACACACCTGCAATATCCTAGTAGCCTTTTGTTTGTAGTCTGTTAACTCCTGCTTTGCACTTTCCAAGTTGCTCTTCAATGTCCTCAACTGTGTTGTCAACTCATTTACACGAGCTACAAAATAAAAAATGTATAATTACAGGCCTCTGCAAAAGTCTATTTTCTTACATGGAAATTACATAAGGCATATGCTAATCCTACACGGATGTCCCTTCACATGGATGCTAATAAGATCTTTCCAGGGTGTCAATCAAACTTAATAACTGACACCAACTAAAATAGCGCTGGGAATAAGCACACGTCTCAAAAACACATGTGTTTTGTCCCACAAACACACATGTTTGCGTATGTTTTAAGCATGAATAAGGCATTCTGCCTTTTAACCCTGGATTTGAACACAGGAAAGCAAGAATCTTAGCCACCAAGCTACCACTTCGCTCCACTCACCCTTTTCATTGTTGTATTTCTTCTGAGCTGCAGCATATGACTCTGATAATGATGTGTTCTCTTCCTCTATCTTGCTCTGACGCTGCATGAACTCAGCCTGAAAAAAATGAGTTAAATAAAAAAAGTATCATCTAGGAGCTTTGAGTATGTTGTAGGCAGAGAGGCTGAAATTTTTGGGACTTTTCTTCTCTCTTTCTAGGTTGTTGGTTGCTCATGCATTAGATGCTACTGTATTTCTCTCCTACTGTCATTAATAGTACTTAGTGATAAAAGATGACATCTAGAATCATAAACTAACTTAGTAATCCTATAAACATATATTCTTTGAACTAAACTGAGTTTTTTTTCATGCTTCGACAATGATGGCAACAACAACCACAGGTTGATGATATTGAAGAGATTATGATGTTTAAAGTTGAACAGTTCAACGTCCAAGACCAAAAAATAATTTGAAGTGGTATCAGGGTTCTATTTATAATTAGAGTGTTAGCTTTGTGTTAAAATATTAAGATTGCTAGTTGGTACTTTGGTGGTGTTAAATTAGAGAGTGGTCTAAAAAAATTAGTCTCAAATTGGAGGGCAAACTATACTATGAACTTACTTGAGCCATCTGATATGACTCCTGTTCTCGCTTCAGTGCTGCTTCAGACTCTCTCAGCTTGACATTGGCAGAGTCTAAGGCCTTTCCATGCACACCACTCGAGCTAGAATGGTCTTTCAATATCCTGAAGAAAAACAAATAATCACATTTTTAAGTAGATGACATTTTCAGTTGATTCAGGTTTCCAAGCATGAGGTCAGAACCTTTGTTCCCTCGTATCCTTAGGCAAGGCATTTTAAAAGTAGGTAAAGGTCTCCCTCTAATTAAAGACCACTTTTGGGACTGGAATTTCCATAGTCTTTAACAACTTTGGTCTCTAATTAGAATAATAAACATGAAAGACTTGTTAATTTGGGACCACAGAAAAGTGGTCTTTAATTGGATGCGGGTCTTCAATTAGTGGGAGACGTTCTTAGCGGGTTCAAATGCCATACAGTGATTATTAGTGTTTACCATAACTGGTTGCCACAACAAACTTTATGAATTCCATGATATACCAACCTTTCATTTTCACTCAGGAGTAAGTTCAATTCTTTCTTCTTTTCAATAAGTTCACTATCAGCCTCCTGAAAGCGAACACGTAAAACGCCAAGTTGCGAGTTTTTTGCATTGAGTTCCTCTGACAAGTCGTCTTCACGCTGCTGTAGCTGACGAATAAGGGCATCTGACTCACCCATTTGGGACCGCTTCTTTCGTAGTTCATCCTTGATTTTCACAAGTTCTGAAGTAAAAGATAATATTATATATTTATAGGATTACATTAAACAGTAAATCACCACATTTTTTTTTAAATTTCCCTCACATCCAACAGCAAGTTCACTTGCCACTTACAGGATGGAGCAATGCTTTATAAACCAAGTCTCTTATTGAGGCAACGATATTTGTGGAAGATGTGTTAGTTTTCGGAAAATTGTTGATTGCTCGTGAGAACGTAGGAGGCTGTTGCAATTTCCATGAGAAACTTGCGAGTCATGGAAGACTCGGGAGCCCTGAAAACGAATTTTACGCCCTGTCCAGACTATCATATTTTATTTGACAAAAAACTGTTGTATGCCCATATATAGTCATGATGTGCCTATATATGGTCATGATGTGATGTCATCATGACCATATTTAGGCATGACAAATGTTATTTCCAAATAAAATTTTATAGTTTGGACAGGGCTTTACCTCCTTCAGATTTCTTTGCTCTCTGCAAAGCAGATGACATTTCTTGATTCAAAGAGCTCACTTCATTTTTCAGTAGTTTATTCTCATACTCCAGTGTGGAGACACGCTGCGATGCCTCATCCAGTTGTCCTGACTGGTAGCGACTGCCTAAAATTGCATCTGGAATATCGATGCTAGCATCAGCTTCAGAATGAGGTGTACCAACTGGTGTTGGCTCTTGGATATCTGGTATGTCATCATTATTGCCTGAGGCAAGAAAGAATAAAAAAAAGCGCCTTTAACATCATCAGTATGAAAATGAATCTACAATTCAAAGGAAGCCTTCTACAATAACCACATACTAAAAATTTTCTGTAAACCGAAATTAATTCAAGGTATGGGTAGCAAGTTTTACAATTTGATGCAGGCTAATAATAATATAACTCATAAAATCAGCAACAGCTTGAAGATAAGTGGGGAATGAAAATTATTAAAAAAAGGGGGGGGGGAGGTTAGTTATACAAATATACTAAATTTATCATATCACACAAATACTTTTAGAGAAAACATTTATTAGTTTACAGTCTTTTTTTCAATGGGTACAATGCTTTCTCTCACCTGCTTGCTCTGAAGCTGTTATAACAATTCCGGTGCTGGAGCTTCCCTCGGTTTTCCCGCTTTTGGACGACACATTTGACGAAGTACTAGACTGTCTTGAGTGTTTACCATTCGGTGGTTTTTTATCAACTTTTTTTTTTTCTGTTCCAGTTCCAGGACTGTTCAGGAATTCAAAGAGTTTCTCATCATCTTCCTTTTTAGATTTCGACGGAGAATTCTTATATTTTTGTGAATTAAAACTTCCTATAGTGCTCTCGCTGGGTGTTCTGCGGATGTTGGCAGTGTTGGCTAACTGGGTGGCAGACAAAGTGACAGAACTTGCTGAGGTTGGAAATGTTCGTGGTGATGGACTGACATGATCTTCAACAGTCTGATGTTTCACTGGAGTGAAGCCTTTAACCTCTGAAGTATTTAGTGCTTGGGAGGCACTTTGATCTAAATTATTCAATAAATGTTCAGCTTTACCTAACAACCAAGCCATGTTGGATGTAACTTATTACAGCATGACTTCAAGAAACCACCTGAAAAAAGTTTTTATTCTTTTAACATCCGTAGCATTATGATAGCGAGACAGAAGTTTAATTGTAGTAGGGTCAAGATAACGAATACAGATCACTTTGGTCGCGCTTTGTTGTCTTTCTACTAAGTAACAACATAGGCTACTTAAAAGCAAATAAAATGAGTACTATTATTACTAAACTAAATTTCAATTAGTAATATTACTGTATTATGGTATTTATAGGTTATTTTCTAATTTGTTGCATTAATAGTACAATGTTACTCTTTTATCGGACGGTTTTTATTTTTGTTTTGTTATCGATCCTACGCTTCCTACTACATAACAAATACAGCAAATAAAATAAATACTAAACATATGGTATTTCTCTTAGTACGGTACAGTATTGTTTTTTGATATGATATTATTTATAAAAATCAAACTTATAGCAAAACGGAAATAAAAAAATACTTAGGCCTATGATAAACTGATTAATAATATAATATATAGGGCCTAGGCATATTAAATTTTGCGTTTTCGCAACTCCTTAGGGGCTCCATATATTTGTTCGAAATAAACTTCGACCGAAATGAGGCGCGACCGAAACGATCGGCTACCAAGCCAACTCCACCAATCAACAACCCAGAGCCATATATTAATATTATTATTGTTTATTTTAGGTAATCAAATATGCAAATATTTATTTATTATTATTTAAGGGAGTGGCTTTGTTACACAAGTCTGAAAATAATCCTTAATGCTGATTGAATGTAATACTGCACTAGGGCCTAATCAAATCCATACATACAAAATAACATCAAAACATAAAAAGGAATTGGTCTAGGCCTAGGCCTATAAGCTAGGGCTTAAACTGTATAATTAATAATTTGCAATGAATATAATCAACTATTATAACAACAGGATTCCTGACACTACAATCTAAATTAAGCAGTCAAACAGAATTTGCTTAGGCTAACCGCAAAATGGGTAAATAAAATTCCTAATTATCTTTAGTCTTATGCTACGCAAAATGCTAGTTTGTATTTGTAATGAACCACGTCTGGGGCAGTTGACGTGGAGCTCAGCTGTCTGTGTACGTTTGTTGGAGTTTATTGAATTCAATTTGTGGCTGAGATCTGGAAAATGCTAAATCAAGTATGACTAGACTATAAATCTAATGTATCTCAAACTTACAGATGTGTATCCTTTAGTATACGTGGTAAAATCCTCCTTATTTGCATATCACATTATAAAATTAGTTCAAATAAGAATCACCTCCAACGCGAATCCTTCTTCTCAACTTGTTTTGCTTTTTCTTAGGTCATAGCAGGTCATAGGACATTTAATCTACTACATGTCCTAGGTGGCGTTTTCCATTTCTCAAGTTAAAGATGTATTGTCCCTTGCTAATGTCCAAAAATCATAAAAAATAATTTTGAAATAAACTTGCTCATATCGTAATAGCATACAAATTATTAAATACACTAATATGTTTAATTTTGATAATCAATAATTTAATTATGATAATCAATATGGCTTGATCCTCAAAATTATGTTGCATATAAAAATAATATATATAAAAATCAATTATAAAATTGACAATTTCAACATAATATGTTCGAATTGGGGATATTTTTTGATCAATTGCTCTTCTTCCTTCCATAAATTACGGCTGTTATGTGCGGCCTACTTTACGCAATCTTGATATAACAAAATTGGAACGTATACAAATTCAAAAGTAACACGTTACGTACTCAGAAAGCACATAACACACTTTGTGCCTCACTGTATGGGATGGTCTCCTCCTATCAATGAGCTACAATGTGAAATAATTCAGCAGGGTAATTGAAATGAGCACACATTGTTTGCCCAAATGTCTACAACTTGCTATGCTGCAGATCAATTTTGAATTTAAAAATGTAATTCATACATTTTTATATCGTTTTAAATGATATTTTAATAAGAAGCTAGTCTGATGATATTATTCGAAGAAAACCCGATGACATTAGGACAATATTGAATTATATAATAATGTTATTGATGCAAACGATGATACATTATTTTTTGGGCTGTTCATTTTGTTAGAATGCATATATCTTGACAAGTTTTGCAAAAGATAGGTCTATACCAAACGAGCCTTAAGGCTCGTTTGGAACCATGCAGTGAGATATTGAATGCCATGCTCTTGCTATACGGTTTATCTCGGCGTTTTTCACTTTCATTGTACTTTCGTTTATATTTTCTTCATTACTATTGATGTTATGGTGATGTAAGTTTTTTAAGGGGAAGGGGTAAATGTTTGAATTGTTTAGGGAGAAGAAATGTTTGTATTGTTCCTGAAAATAGGGAGTTAAGTTATACAGTTTTATTCAGCGGGCTAGGGGATAACATTACCCTCCAGAACCAGAACCAATCATAGAGCCTAAATATTAATGATATTTTAATAAAAGCCTAGTTAAGGATCATAAGTTATATATTATTATTTATTTCATCAATATTTCAACAATATTTTTGAGGGTGGTTCTTCAAGTCTGAGCCTCAAGCATGTTTCTAGGTAGGGGTGGGGGAGTACGTTGAGTGGCTGGTGTGGAGTCCCTTCAGCAAACCCTCCTATCATTTTAAAAAGACCACACTTATAAAAAAAAAATTTAAAAAGTAGTACTGTAGATATCTTCCATTATTAAATTTTTTCTTAGTATGATAATTATAATTTATTATCTTCATTTTAAACTGCAATATATCATTACGTAAGGCACTATCCTCGGGTCTGGCCTCTGAACCTAAACCCCAGAAGTGGATATATACCATAAGACAATTATCAGCCAGTCTGAAATATTGGAGTACCGCTTTAGCACAGGTCATGTTCTACCGCTAAATATAGAACAAGTTCAAATTAAATAATTAAAACAAAGACATCTTTTTTATAACCATTCTAAATGATTAACTTATCAATATCGATGAAGGATCTACATGGAGGATCTAACAACGAAAAAAAGAAGATGAATTTTCCGACAAGATTCCCTTATTGTCAATATCATAACACCAAGTATTGAAATTCTTTCCTCGTGAAATATACACAATAATACAGAATTACAACGATATAAAAATAAAATAAAAGATTTAAAGAAATATAAATAGCCTATAAATTCGGAATTTCCATCTTCTAAATATATTTGATCGTTGATTACCAATACTGACTCATAAACACCTGGAACCATGGAGGAAATATATTAATATATTTCCTCCATGCTGAAACTAAGTGCAATATTTATTTCCGCTCCATCGATTAATGATTATGATAGTGATTTATCTGTTGTAAATCTTATGTGCTGCACCTGGCAGAGTAACACTGTCATGATTCTCCCAGTTTTACGACTATATCAGTCAAACCGTACATTTCATATTTATAAAATTACATTTGCAAAAGTGTTGTATCTTATATCTTATTTTTGTAAATTATGTTTTTTTTATCTAATAATTTGTAGGCCCATTTATTATACAATACCATGAGAAACCAAAATACAGAATTGTTTATAAGTTTAGTAAGTCGCACTTGCGCCCTCTTCAGTGAGCGGCGATGGCGCTTAAAAAAATGTAATTCCATAAGTAACAAAGGGTTAGGTATTTTATGTGTTACATTTTTTGTTGAAGGAAAACATATAAATATTATTCGAATTAGACTATCACATTTTAATTTTTAAAATGGTAAGAATTTTTTATTAATAAATTTTACAGAGGAGCGATGAATAAGATTGCATCTTAAAATATGGTAACTACACCCCTCTAGTAATTTGAACGATTCTAATAAAGCTGTTTTGTGTGAATGAAGTAAAATTTGTCAGCAGTTCGATCAAGGCATCAATTTACTGAGGTTGCGTTGTTGGTTGTCGAAGAGAAGTAAGTAAGAGGGAAAGAAGATGGATGTAGAATTACGATGTCCGGCTTGCAGTGGGTATTATAAATCCCCAATCCTTTTACCTTGTTCACATAATATTTGCTTGCCCTGTGCACAAAGTATCCAAGTAAGTGGCCACGCGAGCGCTAGTGTTTATTGCGAACAAACTACCTTGAATGAATTCGACTATCCAGAGGCAGATCGTCTGAGTGCTCTCAGTGAAGCAGACAGTGGTATCAGTTTCGGGGCTTCATCTGCCGGGTCAAGTTCCAGTTCTAGTTCAGGTGGTGGGGGTCATCTGCAGAATGACTCCCTCAGAATTATCTGCCCTCAGTGTCACAGAACAATATATCTTGATGACAGAGGTGTCAACAGTTTTCCTAGGAATAAAATCTTAGAGACAATTACAGATAAATATGTTCAAACCCGTCATCCAGGGTCTTTGGAAGCTCAGAAGTGCCAGATGTGTGAGAGTTCACCAGTTGAAGCAAAGGTTTATTGTGAACAATGTGAAGTTTGGTATTGTGAAGGTTGCCAGAAAACTTGCCACCCATCCCGCGGGCCCCTAGCTAAACACAATCTGATACAGGCAAGCAAAACCCAGGGGAAAGTGCGCCCCCAGAGTCAAGGACCTTCGACTTGCACAGAACATGTAGAAGAAAATTTATCGATGTATTGTATGCTTTGTAAGTTGCCTGTTTGTTACCTCTGTCTTCAAGAAGGGAAACATATGAACCATGAGGTGAAAGCCCTTGGGGCAATGTCAAAAATGCAAAAGGTAAGTTCAACTTAAAAGAAATGTTTTCATTGACATGCTTGAATGATCTTTTTCTAACCAACTTTCTTACAGCATTCCTAAATGGAGAACTTCATAAGACTAGAGTAAATGGCAGGAATCCAAAGTCGTGGGGATCTCCCGGAAATCGAGACAGACACCCACAAGCAAGCAAGAATTATATTATTTGCATGTTTTTTCTAAATTTCAAATTTTTGTCTCATGAATGTCAGTCAGTGCTGATAAAATTGAATGTATTAAAGCAGGCTTCAGGGGCAAATTTAGGTGGGGGGGGGGGCGGCCTGGGCCCCCCCCCCGGCCCCGGTCCTACCTCCCTTTTGAGAGGTAAAAAAAAAAAAAGGAAAGGAAAAGAAAAAACGATAGCCCAGAACGCCTCAAATGTTATTTTCGGTTGTCTAATACACAGAAATTTCGCGGGGGCATGCCCCCGGACCTCCTATTTCAGTGTTGTCTCGATCGGCCCAAATTTCGCCCCCCCCCCCCTTTCGGCACCACCTTTTGGACATCTCTGGATCCGTCCCTGGGCTTAATTTTTACCTGAATTGGCTTCTTCCAACTTAAGACCCCTGTAGTGGTGCGGGCTTTCCCGAATTTCTATGCTGTTTTATTGGTGTTTTTTTTTTATCATTATTTGAATTGTGTTCACAAAAACTGTTAGTATTAATCTTTTTGTAATCAATAAATTCTTTAAATTGCAATGTTTGATTACATGCTAAATTTAAAAAAAAATTATAGTTTCATACAAATTGCAGATAAAAAGATAATTTTTTTTAAATCTAACCTTTTAACTTTTGCATAAAGCATGGTAATAAAAGAAAATGTTGGTTTAACATAAATGTAACTTGTATCATTAACCACCTAAAGCAATCATAACGCGCATTACTGTAAATGGGATACTAATATTATTTATTGATGTTAAGTCTGAAAATTTTAATCATAAAATTAGCTTGTCCATAATGTGGGTCACCATCTAATGCCCAAGAAGGTCTTCTCAATTGCATCCATAAATTACATTGATCGTTCAACTTTAACATTTTCATAACAAATTGCATTTTATTCACAACATTAAAAAAATGTTGAAAATGTTCTTTAATTTCTATGGATAAGTAATAAAATTGTTAAGAAATGTCTAATTTTATTTTACTATGTCTTACAAACGTATTGATCTTAAGGTCATAGAAACCCAGTTGAATATCCAGAGGGAGTGTAACACTACATGACTATGTGTTTTTCTGTCAGATTCTTAATTTCCTGTACGATTCCTGTATGATTGTAAACTATTATTAAATTCCAATGCTGTTGGGCTAATTTTATTTGCTCTGGCACTTTTCTTGTTCTGGATTAAAAAAAAATATTTTAAAATTTTCTAGGTTTAGTACAGGTCTCCCTCCAATTAGAAAAAAAAGGGGGTTTCCATGGTCTTTAGCACCTTTGGTCTCAAATTAAAATAATAAAGATAAAGGACAAATTGTTAATTTGGGATGAAAAGTGGTCTATAATTGGAGGGGTCTTTAATTAGAGGGAGACTTATATTTAAATATTAAAATAACTCAACCTCCACATATAGAGCACAGAGTCAAATTTGGATGATATAGATATAGATATCATCTCTTTTTTTGTTGTCATGTTTACTGTATGTGTTTTATCAAATCAGATTAATTTTATTCTGCATAAATTATTATCTTTTGTCAAGATGAATCAAATGGACAAGGTAATCAATCATGATGTGAATAAAGTTTATTTTAAAGGCTGCTGCACCTGTCTGGAAGGCAGGTGTGATTTGTTCTGTCTGCCTGCCTGACAAACATGTCTTCACCAAACACTATGAATCTTGTTAAAAGCTATCTTGACATGTTTTAATTCCATTTTGTCAAAAAAAGAAAATCCATTTTTGTTGAAATATACTTGATTGTACACTATTTTGCAATATGAAAGTGCGAATTACTGTATATGATATGATATCTGGAAGCCTGTGGACACCTAAATTTTCTGTGTAAGCTCTTGTGTTTTCCCTCTTGCTGCTTTTCTTGTCAATAATCCAGTTCTGATTTCCGTTAGTGTTAGATCACGTGATGCCGTCTGCTGATTATTGGTGGCAGTCTGAATGGATCGTCATTAAAAACGATCCGTTGCACTCGTGTTGTGGCGTTATGTTCTCCATAGAATACGACCGTAGGGCATACAGCTGTAGTGAGTGCCCGGCTTTAAACCATTTGTCAACAAGAAAACTTTTTGTCTTCTTGTGGCTTCAGTAGTGTCATTAGTAAATAAATAGGATTTAAATATTATGAAAAAATAGTAATTTATATACTCACATCCAAACTATTTTTACAGTACATATTAGTAGTAGAGTGTAATATATTATTTTAATTAATATTTTATTTTAATTCATTCATCAAGGACCTGCCAGTTACTAATAGTATAAACTAGCTTGATTAAATCTCATATATGAAGCTGTAGTGCAATTTTTGTTTATTTTTAAATTGTGAGAAAAATTATGTTTGCAAGATATTAACTAGGATTTGTCAACAAGAAAACTAATTTTTGTCTTCTTGTGGCTTCAGTAGTGTTATTAAAAAACGTAAATAAACGGCATTTAAATATTATGAAAAAATAGTAATTTATATACTCACATCCAAACTATTTTTACAGTACATATTAGTAGTAGAGTGTAATATATTATTTTAATTAATATTTTATTTTAATTCATTCATCAAGGACCTGCCAGTTATTAATAGTATAAACTAGCTTGATTAAATCTAATATATGAAGCTGTAGTGCAATTTTTGTTTATTTTTAAATTGTGAGAAAAATTATGTTTGCAAGATATCAACTAGGATTTGTCAACAAGAAAACTAATTTTTGTCTTCTTGTGGCTTCAGTAGTGTTATTAAAAAACGTAAATAAATAGGATTTAAATATTATGAAAAAATAGTAATTTATATACTCACATCCAAACTATTTTTACAGTACATATTAGTAGTAGAGTGTAATATATTATTTTAATTAATATTTTATTTTAATTCATTCATCAAGGACCTGCCAGTTATTAATAGTATAAACTAGCTTGATTAAATCTCATATATGAAGCTGTAGCGCAATTTTTGTTTATTTTTAAATTGTGAGAAAAATCATGTTTGCAAGATATCAACTAGGATTTGTCAACAAGAAAACTAATTTTTGTCTTCTTGTGGCTTCAGTAGTGTTATTAAAAAACGTAAATAAACGGCATTTAAATATTATGAAAAAATAGTAATGTATATACTCACATCGAAACTATTTTTACAGTACATATTAGTAGTAGAGTGTAATATATTATTTTAATTAATATTTTATTTTAATTCATTCATCAAGGACCTGCCAGTTATTAATAGTATAAACTAGCTTGATTAAATCTCATATATGAAGCTGTAGTGCAATTTTTGTTTATTTTTAAATTGTGAGAAAAATCATGTTTGCAAGATATCAACTAGGATTAAGCAGCAAGCATATTAACCACTAAGCTAATAAAGGTCCTCTGAATCGTGTCTTGATTGCTAATTTTGATAAACTTGGATGAGATCAATAATATTGCTATGGTCTTTCGTACAATATAATAATACAATAACTTTCATTATCACATCCTGCACTTTTTAGATGGTCGTCATTCTATACAGTACTCTGTGTCATCTGTGATTCAATATGTTTACTCTTCTTCTTCCCCTTGTCCTAGGTATTGATTTCTTTGTTGGAATACACACTTCAAGGTTTGCCATTATCCTCATTTCCTGACTTGAGCAGCCTCCACCGCAGTTAGTATCAACACACATTAATGTTGTGGCATTTATTATGTTCACAATGTGATGATAAATTAGGTGTGAGACTCCTGCCTTAAGGAAGTCAAATATCGTTGAGGGGCAAAAAGTCTTTCACCATCAAGATTTGAAACCAATTTTTTCCTCAAAAAGGTACCATAACGTTCCAGTGAACGGGCTACTCCATTGCTTGTACTTTAGCTCGGTTACTAGCGAATGCGAATGCTGATTATGCTTTGATTCCAATGAGCACGATAAATTTTCACAATATTCCTGTTGGTTTGGATTCAGCCACTTGAAAATGTAAACCTGCTTTAATATTTCTTCCAGTGATTGGATATGAAGCAGCCTAGTGTATATGTACTGCTAACTGTTAAAAGGCAACTTTGACATTTGCCAATTAATCTGTAATTCCACCTTTAAAAGAGCAGGATATATGCATATAACTTGGCTCCTCCACTCTACATACCATGAACCATTTTTTTTGTGGTATATTTTTAGCTGCAGCAACTCAAAATAGCATCCTCCGTTGTGCCTTATAAAGAATAATAAATTGAAAATTACTATTACGATAGGGAAACAAACGATAAATTTGGGAAAGGTAAGCAGGATGGGGATTTCTATAGGAAATTCTGCACAACTTGATTTTGCTTTTGGATAAAGTAGGTTGGCTTGTGTATTATTTAATTGATTTGATTTCAAAATTAGGTACAGTGTAATACAAGAACATAAATAACGAATATAATTATTGCGCTGTAAAGTAAATTCCCGAATGCTGTCATCTTTGATGTTAACTGCCGTCTGTCCATTCTTCGGTGATTTCCAACATAGACAGTAACCGGTCTTGCTTGATTTATGTTCTCTGAAATCGTTGTCATTCTTTATCTTCTGTAGTCGCATTCCTGTTTAACTGATGCACGAAAAAAAAAGAAAAAATATTTACCGAAGCTAGCTGTCTGTGGTTTTGCATTGTTGGCTTGTATGATAATGACAACAGTGGTTTTTTCGTTCCAAGACGTTTCAAATCCGTAACGTCAACAAACAGCCATGATTTATGTCATGACTATAATTTTTTACATTCCTTTGTTCGCCTAAACTCCTGAGGAGTATACACAGTTATGGGCGTGTGGGAATAATGCAGAATGACTTCCTTAATGGTGCAAATTAATACAACCTTAATGCACATTTTATCCTAGAATAACT